AGAAAGTGGAACCTGATGTTCTATTTCCTATAAGTTTCGCCCTCTAAGGCTATTGCTACTGGGTTTATCCCTTGCGCGCATGTGCAGCACTGAAGGGAGGGAGTCAGATGGTGTTAATCGAGCTTATGGTAAAAACCCACACAGTCCTGAGAGGTGAAAACACCGGTGTGGGTGACCCATGAGCATCAATAACCAAACCAGAGGTTCATAAATGATCTACTTTTTGTCAATCTAAGAACTTTTTGAAGCAGAATTTTATGTCCAGAATATGTTGACAGGCTATTTAAAATTGGTCACACCGAAATGTAGTGCGATGTTTCACCTATGCAAAATGAATATCAAATGTTTCAATACTCTCATAATATCAAAAACAAAAATTACAAAAGATATACAGAATTTACTTTAAAAGCCACTGACTAAAGCTCATCAGTACCATTTCAGGTATCTTGCTTGAGATAACGTGCAAAGTAAACAACACCTCAGCTGTTGTTCTCACTAGCCAGCTGTTGATTAACATCACAAAATCATATGCATAAAAACTACATTGATCCACTAATTTATCCACTAAACCTAACCAAACTTTGTTTATAGTGACACTGTCATATGACTATAGAGAGTTAAAAAGAATGACATGCATGCAGAGAAAATGGGTTAACAGACCGAAAAATAAATGTAAAGGTCCCAAACAAGATAAAATCTTCTTTCACAGTTATTCTTTCTCAAATCTGATTTATTCTCATGTATTCTGTACAGACGTCAGCATTTTGAATTCCTTTTTGTCTTCATACTGTATTCATTCATTATAATCCTCTCTCTTTATTTCGTCACTCTCGCATGTGCGTGCTCTCTCTCTCTCTCTCTCTCCCTCCCCCTCACCTATATCTCTGACCCCACACAAACACACAGGAGAGCACTCTTGCAAGAGCACACATGTACTCACACACACACACGCACGCACACTTTAAATTACATGATTACTTTAAAACAAAATCGCACATGTGATCGACCCTCCTAACAGGCAAAGAGCTTTACACGGAGCATTGCTCATGTAATAGCTGCTCTCATGCTTACTTCAGTTTGGAAGACCGGCATGTTCCTCTCTATGAAATTCAGCAGTGATGAGCGAAGACCTCACCTTGGGATGGGGTTACTAAAGTGAACCGATAGGGTGTTTGTGTATACTGTTAGATTCAGGTGCTACTATTATGTGCTTCTTCCAGGATTCAACTGTGAAAGCCACATCATGGGAGAAAATACCATAACTGTGGCAGAAGGACACTTGATTCAATAAGTAACTGAAGAGGTTTTGTGTTTATTTTAGGTTGCTGTTTGATGTCCAATCTGTAAAAGATATGACCTCAACAACAAGTGAAGTCACTCAAAGTAGTGTATTATTAGTCAGCCTGTAGATTTAATAATTTCTGACAATACAACAAATATGCATCTAAAACAACAGTGATGATGCCTCCTTCAAGCACAGTAAAGGGCTGCACTAAATGCCATCCAGATAGCAACTCATACGTTTCTGATTCCAAACAGAAATAGAAAATGCTATTAGCCTTTAATCACCAGTGTGTGAATGTCAAATGTAGATTACACAGATGTAATCACCTTCCCCTGACGCTGCACCACTGGCATAAAAAGCCCTTTTGTTTGTAAGTCATCCGTTGTGCATGTCACTGGGGCTCCCCCATCAGCGTAGTGCCCTCCTGACACAACAAATTAATTTAGTGGGAGCGCCTTCACCTGCAGAGTCCACCGCAACAAGTTTGTGTTCCTCCTCTAAACTGACTTAATAAGTTCTGTATCATAATGTTACATTCCCACAAAAGCCAACAGGGTTTTCTGCAGTCCAATCTACCACGCTTGAGGTCATTGTTTTTGTGCCGACGTCAATCTGTTGTAGGAACATCAACGTCAGCACTGCCTCCAGACCTTTGGCATTCACAAAACATATAGTCAGTAAGTGCCAGAATGGCAGAAACCATGGGTGAATCATGACTATAGGAAAGCACAACATGTGGCAAAATAGAAATGTTGAATAAAGGTAATGGCTCTGTGTGTGTGTGTGTATGTCTGTGTGTGTGTGTGTGTGTGTGTGTGTGTCTGCGTGTCTGTCTGTTTTTTTATGTGTGTATATGGGATATGTGTGGTGTTTAGATGTATGTTACACATGTTGGGCTGTAAAACAAGAATATTTCATCACTTGTGAATAAAATAACATGAAGAAAAGAGTGTATATTATACAATATTTTCATTAAACTGCAAACATAAAATGATAAATGTGACCTCATGAGGTGTAGGTAGGTCTAACAGAATAAATATCAGTCCCATTTATGACCTCTTGATGATAATAATGAGAGTGATGGGAGTTCTTAAAGTCTTTCAGTGAATATTTATTTTAAAGGTCTGTAAAGAATCTATTTTAATCTATCAAAATGTCCATTCAAAAAGACCAGTACTGGATGGACTCACTGTAACTCCACCATTTTCTATGAATTATATTAAGTATAATAGTAGTGTTTTTTATTTCCATATTAAAACAATAACTTTGTCAAATGATATGTCTACACAACATACAATAGTCATGAGCTGTAATCACAATGATGATCTTTTCTCACTACCAGAGGAAAGACAGTCATTTCCAGGGATATTCATGTCAACACAAACATGAACATGTTTGCAGCATGCGAAAAGTCTGCAAAATGATGTTCCACACTCCACAGTAATGCTGTGTTCTTTCCCTGAATAATACTTGTACGAGATAATTCTCTAAAGAAAATATTACTGCGTTGTTAACCTGGACACATAAGGCATTGTTTATGCTGCATGATGGCTGATGAAACTGGAGAAATGAGAACATACGACATTTTTGGAAGCTTACGTCACAGGTAGCAGTAAAGCATGAATTTAACTGTTGATGACAGCATTCACCAGCTGGGAAATCCAGCGCTGTCTCTGCACAATAACTTCAACACAGACAGTGTACCTTGGGGGCTAAGTCTGCAGATCACTTGCTAATCTGTGACTTTCTTTTCCATCACATGTCTGACTCACTGCGTTGACTCTGTTGTCATTCAGTCTCAATGGCCTCAAAGAGCTTTTGCTACAGATGGTTAATTACTTTTATTGCTACAAAAACATGACTACACTACAACACAGACAAAACACTGACAACAACAAATCAAGTGGAAGAATACAACACATAAGCACAGAAACATGGTATTTACAGAAACTGTGGTTTAACAATGCCACCTGGTGTCCTAAGAAGAACATGTATGCGTCTTTGCAAGCATAATCTCAAATGGCACGTCCATCCATCCATCCATCCATCGTCTACCGCTTATCCTGCGTACAGGGTCGCGGGGGGGCTGGAGCCAATCTCAGCTGACATCGGGGAGAACATGCAAACTCCACACAGAAAGGCCGGGGCAACCGGGGTTTGAACTCACGACGTTCTTGTGCAGTGCTAACAACTGTACCACCATGACGCCAAATGGCACGTTAGAGGCCAAAAATGCAAAACCTACCAAATAAAAAACTCTAAAAGATATATGTGTCATCATGATGAAAACCTCTGGTTACAATAATGAGACACCACAAATGTGCCCCTGATGGATGTATCTTACAACCGAGATTACAGCGGTTGTATCTTCTTTGGTAAAACACATTTGTATACTGTTAACAGTTGGCAGTTTTCTTGCTTTTATGTAGTAATTATTGCAAGCACTGCAAATTTGTATCCATTTTTAATCCATCCAAAATTCAAAGTCCAATATGCATGTATTAATCTGATAAGTAAATGCTTATATAAAACAAATTACTTGTTGTTGTTTCTTCTTCATCCAAAGAAAATGTTCTTGTTTAAAAGGCGTGTTTATCTGTTACCTTATTCAAAAATAAATACAGGACCATTTTCTGTCTGTAGTGTTAGGCTTAAGTTTGCCCATAGGTTAGTCTGATGCTACTTTCACAAAAAATAAAGACTGACTTATTTTAAGGCTAAAAAGTTATTGTTACACAGTTTTACCAGTAAAATGTCCCTGTAACTACGCTGTAGTTTGAAGTAAGTCTCAATTTACCAAAAAATCATAGCATGACTGTTATAAAAGCGTAGATTATTATTACTCCTGCATGTAAAAGCAGGATTTTACTGCTGGAGCTACCGGACAGCAACTTATAATTATTTTCATTATGAATTCTTCTGTGGGGCAGCACGGTGGTGCAGTGGTTAGCACTAAATACTGGAGTAAATTTACTTAGTTACTGTCCAGCACTGATAAAGGCAACTGACTTTCCTCCATCTAATGTCTGTAAATGACTATATACTATTTGTAGCACAAGGCCTGTAAAATATTGTAGTCGATTGTCTGCTTGGATTTCCATCCATTCAAATGTGTGAAAAATGCAAGTCATAATTTGAGGCCTTAATTTAACCTGCCTTTTGTCCCTCTGTGCTTTTGACTCACCTCAACTTCTGAAATGGTCCCTCAGTAGAACACATAAAGAGGATAGTCCATTAATTATCCTATATTTTGTATATATATAAAATATTCACTTTGGGTGTACACATTTATTTTGGATCTTTTGAAATAATTACAGTATGAGGAATGTATGGAGATGTTTTGAAGATAAACAGACACCAAGGTCATGTATTATGTTATATAATATATAATGTATAATATAATATAGTTTTTATATGAATACTTCATAGTCACAGATTGGCTGTGTGGTAATATGATTACATAGCAATTAATTTTAGAACATGTATACAAAGTATGCACAAAGAGGACACTTGGCCGCAAGATTAGGTTTTTAAAAAGTAGAGTAATTTATTTTACTCAGTAAAATAATGATACTTTTAAAAATACGTGTTTGATCGTTTAAAATCTAGGATCAAGAGAGCTGGGAAAACAGGATGGAGCATCAATGTAACTGTTACTGCCTCTGTGGGTGGATCTGGGTGGATGTTGACGTTGTCGCTGTCACTTGACACCGTCTGTGAACCAGGAAGTGAGAGGGCGGGGTTTTGCGAAGGGCTGGTGGGCTGATAAACAAGGTAACGGCTTCTTGCGATATATACCTCTGCTTTCAATTAAAACGCACAGTGGTTTCGTTGCTTATTTCGCTGATGTAGTCACAACCTTTGCCTGTAAAGTGCAAGTAGCGTAATTGATGCTAACAGTGGCTAGCTCTCTCAAGCTAGCAGAAACGTCATTAGCCAGCAAGCTAATGACGGATTAGCTTGAGAGGACTTCGGTGCTTTATCTTTGGGAAGGGCCTCTGGGTGCTTCATCACTCTCAGTCGCCAACACCAGTAACGTTAGCTGACTTTAAAAACACCTGGCTGTGGTGTTTTCGAGTCACTATTGTGGAGTTAACGTTAATGTCAGCGTCCTCTGTTATCCTGTTAGCAAACCTGATAACGCCAATTAATACCGTTAACTTAGATGAGTGTTTGAAGTGAGAGACACAAAACGTTAAGGTGACATCTGAAATAATGAGTTACAAAACAATTAAGTACATTTATGGTATATGTGCGTATCAAAATGACAGCAAACTAATGTATATATTGTCTTTAAATGGCTTTCGCTACCCGATACTGTGGAAGTAACGTTACATGCTCTTGACTTAGCATAGCATAACTAACTTAACATAGATGGCGTATTATTTTCACTGTGGATTAATCTGTCGATTATTTTCTCAATTAATCGATTAGTTGTTTGGTCTATAAAATGTCAGAATATGGTGAAAAATGTTGGTCTGTGTTTCCCATAGTCCAGGATGACATCCTCAAATGTCTTGTTTGGTCCACAACCCAAAGATAATAATAACGATAATAATAATCATGAAATTTTATTATAGAACACTTTTCAAAGCCTGTTACAAAGTGCTTTTACAAGACAATAAAACATTTCAAACAAATAACAAGATACACAGTAAACTTAAATAAAAATACACAAAAGAAATTAATAAAATCAACTAAAATCGGGAAAGGTTCTCCTATAAAGGTATGTTATAAGAAGGGATTTAAAAGAGTTCACTGACTCAGCTGCCCTGATTTCCTCAGGCAGGCTGTTGCTGACTGCAAACGCTTTGTACCTTTTAGTTGTCAGAAACTCTGGAGCAGACAAAACACCTCTGCTTGAGGATCTCAAGGTACATGTTGGTGTGGATTGGACTAAAAGGTCTGAATTTTAACAGGGAGAAAGGCCATGAAAAGCTTTAAAAGTAATCTATAACATTTTTAACATCTATTCTAAAATATACTGGGAGCCAGTGTAATGAAGCTAAAACAGGGGTGATGTGATCATATTTCTTTATTCTGGTTAAAAGCCTGGCAGCTGAGTTCTGCACAGTCTGGAGTCAATCAATAGTTTTTTGTGTCAATCAAGTAAAAAGGCTGTTGCAGTAATCCAGGCATGATGATATAAAGGCATGTAAAATGGTCTGTGTCCTTAAAAGTTAACATTGATCATATTTTTGATACATTTCTGTAGATAGATATAGATATTCAGTTTACTGTCATAGATGAGTAAAGAAGTCGGAAAATATTTACATGGAAGAAACTGGAATCAGAGCATTTGTGTTTATATATGTACAGAATGATGCATGAGTGTCCCTTGCAGTCATAATAATAAGTACCTGCTATGTTCTGCATGACAGCGTCCACCATGACAGCCATCAAGCATGCACTCCAGAGGGACATCTTCACACCCAACGATGAGCGTCTCCTCGGCATTGTTAACGTCTGTAAGGCAGGAAAGAAAAAGAAGAACTGCTTCTTGTGCGCGACAGGTAAGTGCATTATAACCACAGAAACGACTGTAAATAACTGTTAATGATCAAGTAAATGTTTCTATAGCAATGGGCTTTTCTCTTCCAGTTACCACAGAGAGGCCTGTGCAGGTTAAAGTGGTTAAGGTGAAGAAGTCTGATAAAGGGGACTTCTACAAACGGCAGCAGACATGGGAGCTCCGAGATCTGACTGAAGTAGATGCCAAAGATGCAAGCAAGGTCAGATAATTCATTTATCACCCATTACCTTGTTCAGTTGTTATAAGTGTCCCTTTTCTCCTTCATTCAGTGCTCATATATATACTCCTATGGTTTAGGAAAATCCTGAATTTGACCTTCACTTTGAGAAGGTGTACCGCTGGGTGGCCAGCAGCACAGCTGAAAAAAACTCTTTTATCTCCTGCATTTGGAAGCTGAACCAGCGATACCTGAGGAAGAAGGTGGAGTTTGTGAATGTCAGTTCTCAGCTGCTGGAAGGTGTGGAAACGCTCTGTCCTTACTCTAACCACCCGCTGTGAGCGCATGCCTCTTTTCATGATTTGATTATATTTGTTTAAAGACCGGTCTCCTTCTCTTAAAGAGGTGGTATTATGCTAATTTTCAGGTTCAAAATCCTATTTAGGGGTTGTACCAGAACAGGTTTATATGGTTTAATTTTCAAAAAACACCTTTTTTTTTTCATACTGCACATTGCTGCAGCTCCTCTTTTCACCCTGTGTTCAAGGCTTCGTTTTAGCTATGGAGTGATACATCTTGTCTCTAAATGATCTTTGTTGGGAGTTGCACATGCGCAGTTCCTAGTTAAGGACTACTAGCCAAGCAGAGAAGGGTGGGGTCAGCGAGAAGCTCGTAAACCGCTTCGATTCAGCCTGCATGTTGCTGACCAGCTTGGCAACATGGACTGGAGCAAGAGTTTCAGAGTGATGAGTTATTAATCTGTAACAAATGGATCTTTCATCCATTAAGTTTTAACTGAGCTCTGTCTCTACATCACAGTAACAACTTCATGTCCATCGACTGCCTGGAGGGTAGCTAGTGTTTGGAAGGGAGAGGAGAGGTGTGTGCTGCAGCTCAGTGTTTTTTTCACTGGTGTTTTTGAGGGCGTGTCGGAGTAGTCGCTTAGCAAGCGTTATATGAGGTGCATTTAGCTTTCATCCCTGTATGAAAGGGAAGTGGCTGGACTACAAACAAGCTGTTTTCAGGCAGTTCAGAGCAGAGTTTTCTGTGGGAGATGGGAACTCCCTTTGGGCTGGACTTTGGGCTTTTTCACTTTGTAAACCTATTACATGCACAAAAAAGATATATAACTCCATAAAGGAGAGAGGAAAAGCCAAAAAGCATAATAGCACCTCTTTAAATCAAAAAGTGTTGATCGAAGTGTGTGTTGGTCATGTTTGAGGATATTTTAATTTATCCCAGAAGTGAGAATCTGATGGATTTTTGTTTATTTTATTTATTAATAGCATGTTTTTAAGTATTCAACCTCTTCTTTGTATCTTGGTTTGTGGTATGGCTTTCTGTGTTAAATTCTTCTTTATTCTCACTTTTCTCTCTTAAACTTTCTCTGGCCAGAACTTCCTAAAGCGGAAGGTTGGTAGGACTTAACTTTCCCCTCCTCACTCCTCTCCATCGTTATCTCATGACCTCAAACTACCATTCTCATTAGACACTCTCACCTCCTTAAAGCTCCTTCTGTTTGAATTGTTTGACACTATGGGTGGGCATGATTCATTTGGTCATCATATAACACACATTTACCTCATCATAGGATTATTCACTGACATGTGTTCATGTAATGTACTCTGCATCTAATTTGACTGAAACTTATAGCCCATAATTGTTAGAATAAATGCAGTTGTTGTACTTCAATTTATTTTACAGAGGTCTATCAGCCATACCAAATATAGAGGTGTAAATTTACTTCACATGACTGGTAGAAAATGAGTAACTGGTGGTAAACAAGTACAATTTTAAAACTTATTCAAAATGTGTTTAAAGACGGTTCCCTATTGCCGAAGGTACTTTTGGCTTTAGTTGTTCTTACAAGAGGCGTCTAAAACCCGGTCTGTCGAAGATACCGGGAGGTGTCTTGACACTAGTGTTTTTAACATAAATTTCCATCTCTGTTTGTGGGATTAGAGTCGGTGCCGAGCGGTGAGAGTCAGAGTGTTGCCGGGGGCGATGAGGACGCTCTGGACGACTACCAGGAGCTGAGCACCCGCGAAGAGCAGGACATTGAGAGCATGATGGAGATGTGCGAGTACGCCATCTCCAATGCTGAGGCTTTCACAGAGCAGCTCTCCAGGGAGCTGCATGTTCTAGATGGGGTGAGTGAAGCAAAGTAAAACCAGAATGAAAAGCATAAGAAGTATTGCTCTTCAGTGGGATTTCTTTTTTTTTGCCTGTGAGTTTGGATGGAAACATTAAAAGAAACCTATTAATACCCTCTTCATTGTTTTCTACTTTAAGGCCAATATCCAGTCCATCATGGCATCAGAGAAGCAGGTCAATATCCTGATGCAGCTGCTGGATGAGGCGCTGGGTGAGGTGGACACCATTGAGGGAAAGCTGAGCAGCTATGAGGAGATGCTCCAGAGCGTGAAGGATCAGATGGACCAGATCTCACAGAGCAACCGCCTCATCCAGATCAGCAACACCAACAACGGCAAACTGCTGGATGAGATCCAGTTCTTAGTGGTTAGGAACACATTTGAACTCTCGTATTACTAAATCAAGTAGCACACTTAAGGCATCAGCTGATGTTAAGACAATTAGCAGAGATCTGTTGGATGTATGAAAATATTAACATGGAATTTCATATTTGGAATATGAAAATGTAGATATTTGAGATCCTTTTTTAAAATGTATATAAAGCTCCTTAACAAGTTGTGAAGCCTTAAACCTATAATAATTTATTTGCAAGATTGTTAGACTTTGCTTGACAACTGAGGGCATGTCTTTTCTCATGTAGAACTACATGGACTTGTCAAAGGGACACATCAGAGCCTTGCAGGAGGGGGACCTGACCTCCCCTAAAGGTATCGAAGCCTGCATCAATGCCTCTGAAGCTCTTCTGCAGTGCATGAACGTGGCCCTCCGACCAGGTTAGTCTACACATTTACTTGTTGATTGGCTAAATCAGTTGTTTCTTACGGTGTTGGTGTGCGACTCTCAGAAGCTGCAAAACTTAACGCATTTTGAAAAAAAAAAGTTACCTTTGGTGTGGTTACAAGCAGATTTATACAATTGATGTGGATGCCGATTGCTTATAAATGCTGATTTTCCCAGCCTGTTAATACTGAACTTGGCTATCAAAGTGTCGTTATTTTTCTTCCAAAGGCCACGACAAGCTGATGGCGGTGACTCAGCAGCAGCTCCTGTTTGCCGAGCTGAGAGACACCTTTGCTCGCCGCCTCACCAATCACCTCAACAATGTATTTGTTCACCAGGTAAGAGTCACGCTATGATTACAAGGGCTACAATGTTTAACATTTAGTATAGCATTGCTCTACTTTCTAAGTTGCAGCATCTACGTTTACTCCACTGCATTTATGTGACAGCAGTAGTTTAATAGTTACTTTTCAGATTAAGGTTTTTAACTTTTTTAACTAAGAAACGCATGATAATTTTATAAAATACAACACATTGTTAAGATTAAACCAGTGGTTCCTAACCTTTTTGGCTTGTGACCACCGAAAAAGCTGTGTGTTGTTGGAGCCCGATGTGTATGAGTTGTGAGCATTCCCACCAAGGAGCTATTTCCCCTTTAAACTTTCAGTAAATGTTTAAGACACATTATCCAGTATATAAAAAAAGCAAAGATTAGAGAAAAGTCGAAAGAAAGAAAACCGATTTCCTCTCCCATTAATCATATCACAACCCCTCAGATTAATCTGGTGACCCTTTTGGAGGAGGGGGGGGACTAACTCCACCTCGACCAGCTGAAACAGTAACATTCTGCTTACACATTGTTGCAGTAATATTCAATTCTTATAATATGTAATATATATATAACTATTACACAGGTAATTTTACTGCAGAATGAGTACTTTTACTTTTGATACCATAAGTACATTTTGCTAATACTTATGTGAGGTGTTGTCCTCACATGTTGCCGGTGTAAGACTGCTGCGCCAGGGAGGTCTGCAGTCTCTTCTCTTCTTTTCCCCCCCCCCCCCCCCCCATGGACTTCCTGTTTAGCTGTGACTGGACTTCCTTGTGTCCTTTCCTTCTAGTTGTGTCCCTCCTATTCTTGACTCTGTGTTGCTCACTTTGAATCATCCCACTCTGCTCTCTGTCTCTGTGTCAGTTCAACCACTTCAGTCACTTCAAAATGACCATCCCTCAGTTCTATAGGTCCTCCTGTCTGTCGCTTCCAGTGAGTACCCTCACAGCAACCCCCACTTGCCCCCTCTTTGCTAATGTTTGAAACCTCACTCCAACTTACATGTCATTACCTCAGAGACACGAGGCCATCCATTGCCCATTAGTTACTGCATGGGATATGTTTCTTACAACTTAACATTTGTCATTTGATCTCAAAGCTGAAGAGGCATCGTTCATCTTTCTCCTTCACCAACTGTCTGCACTCAGCTAAGAGCTTCTTTTTGTGTTTGGGTGCTAACTTGGCTTTGTTGCAAAAGGTCTTATATCATAAAATCTGCCTGTCTGCCCTGCGTGCATGTCCAAGCAGTAGATACTGAACTATACTGATACTGAAGATGAAAATGAGGGTAAGTGAGGGGAACATCGGTATGGCAGTAAGAGTTGCACTTTTCAATAAGCTTGTCAATAAGCTGAGCTGAAGAAATGGTGGACTTGTTGAACAATGTGTTTTTTACCTTGAAAACACCCGGTGTCATGATAATATGCGGTAATATATCTTATCCACTGATGTTTGTGATAGGAAGCAAGATAAATATTGCCGTGTGTTTGTATGTATACAGAAACATGGAATGGGACTTAATATTAGGTTTGTCTATACTAAGTCATTTATTGAATGTGTTGCTAATTGTGTCTCCCCTCACTCTGTCATTCAGGGCCATGACCAGAGCTCCACCCTGTCACAGCACACAGTTGAGCTGACTCTGCCCAAACACAGCCCCCTCCACAGGGACCTGCTGCGCTATGCCAAGCTCATGGAGTGGCTGAAGAATACCCACAGGGAGAAGTACGAGGGCCTGTCCAGGGTCAGTGCTGTTTGACACAATACTTAAAGGGACAGGAGTAATGCTCTTATTCACTTCCTTGCTGAGAGTCATATGACAAGATTTATAACACTCTCATGTTTGTCAGTTAAGGCGTATTCCCTAAGATTTCAGTCTTGGCTGATTTGGCAACACAAACGTGTTAAATGGCAATAATAGAGTTTAATGCTTTTAATGTGAAGCAGCGACAGAATAAAATGGTAGAACTACTTAGCAGTAAATATAAACAGCTCTGTAATGAAGAGTAAACAATAAACTGAGGCTGATACTTTGAAAATGACACTGGATTACATGCTTGCACCATTTCTTATGACTCCCTCATGTCTGGGAAGGCACTTTAAATCAGGCTCGGAAATGGCGGATACCGCCATAAGTAAATAGAATAAATGGCTATTGCAGAAAAAATGCAAACCTTAAATAGTTTTAAAAAGGGGGGTTGATTTGATGAAAATCTTTAGGATTATGCCTTCAATATTATACTTTAACCAGAAGGGGATTGGTCAGCTTGGCATAAAGACTGGAAATCGGGGTAAACAGCTTGCCTGGCAATGTCATTGTTGTTTTCACATTTTGTTTATTTTAAGGATTAAACAAACTAGATATAACATTTTAATTAGTGAGCTATAGAGGTGTTCGTAGGCTGATTTTATTAGCTTTGGACAGAGCCAGACTAGGTGTTTTTTCCGTTTTCCACTGTTTATGCTAAGCTAACTGTCTAGTGACTGTAGCTTCATATTTAGCATACAGATGCGTGCAGTATTGAGCTTCTCATGTAACTCTCAGCCAGAAAACAAATAAGTATATTTTTAAAATGTTGAATTATTCCTTTAATACTGAGTCCTCCTAATGTGGTGTTTAGCATCTAAACAAATATCATCTCCTCTTCTTTTTTAGACCTATGTTGACTATATGAGTAGATTGTATGAACGAGAAATCAAAGAGTTCTTTGAGGTTGCCAAGATAAAGATGGCGGGTACAACCAAGGAGGCCAAGGGCAAGTTTGGTAAGAGCTGCTATTCACAGCCCTGTCGACACAGACGTGAAGCATGTTGTGATGTGTGATTAGGTTTTTATAGTTTTTGTCTTTTTCTCCCTTTTCTATAACATGTAGTTCACTCAAAGGCAGTGAGAATTTCATTGCATTTCTGCATTATTTTTTCCAGTATTTGTATTACACTATCACACAGAAATTAATGGAATATTCATGTATAAATAACGAAACAAGGCCTCATTCTTTTACAGCCTTTTCTGCATCACACCAAAATCATATCTTCCCACCGAATGTGTTTCCAAGTACTCAAGTCCTGCCTCTTGTTTTACCTTGTGATGTTGTCTCTTTTTTCCCTTTGCAACAGGACCGTAGAAATTAAATTATCTATTCTTCTTACTATTTAAATTCTGAAAAAGACTCTTGGTTGAGCTTTGGTTTTGGCAGAATTATAGTAATCTGCTTTCTGCATTCTGTATTAGCTTTTCCTGTTGAAAACAAAAAAAAGAAAGAAAGAATTTGTTTTCCTAAGGTTTGTCCGACAAGCTACAAGCCCATCCAAGCCACTGCAGTGCACGTCAGCTTATGTGTAACCTCGTACATCTAACATCTAGCCTCACCCCTCCCATGCTGCATGTTGTAAGCCTAACCTGTCTCTGTCTTTGATGCCTGCCTTTCTAACTGGCTGCAGCCACGCTTCCGCGGAAAGAGAGTGCACTCAAACAGGAAACAGAAAGTAAGTATGACATTCAGACAGAGCTGTTCCACTGTTAATTACCCACTGTGCTTCTTACCACTGTGCCTTATGTAGCTGCACTAAGAGAAACCCTTTGCTCAAAGCCCTTCGCCACCTTGATACATATCACCTCAAGCCCTGCCAACCATTACCTCGCCATGTACCTGGTTGGTTTGTGCAAAATCTTCACAGTGCGACTGAATGCATCACCACATATTCTGATTCTATGATAAATGCCTAAAATAAAGCTAACCATTGATATGCGTGTTATTTTTGTTGACTTTACTACACAATTTATTTTAAAAGTGTCATAATAGACTTCTCTAAGTCTTCACTTGGACTTGGAGTCATTCTGATTAAACGCTTGCCATTGGATCACACTGTATTTGTTGTGCTGTGTAAGGCCTTCATGGCAGCTCTGGGAAGCTGACAGGCTCCACCTCAAGCCTGAACAAGCTGACAGTGCAGGGCTCCAATAGCCGGCGGTCCCAGTCTTCCTCGCTGCTGGACATGGGCAACATGTCCGCCTCCGACCTGGACGTGGCCGACAGGACCAAGTTTGACAAGGTGACACAGCCAGTGATACAAATATTTACTCAAACCATTAAATTAGGGCTGGGGGATATGGCTTATAAATAATACTGTGATATTTTTAGGCTATATCGCAATACACAATATAGTTCTCGATATACACATTTTGTCTAAAATAACATACCGTACATTCTCAAATAGAAATGCAAACATGTTAACCTTGCAGAATATGATGCATTGATGTAATATAAACCACCGAACAATATATAAATTTGTTCAAATTAGCTCAACCTTTAACATCCACAGCAGTAAAATGCAGCATGCGCATTAAAGCAGTAATATTAATCCGAAAACATCATATATAATACGAAAACGCCGACTGGGGACCATTTTGCTGCACAATGACTAAGTCAGTTTTGCATAAAATTTACTCGTGTTTTCACAGCGAGGTTGGTATTAGTAGTTTTGCTTAAGTAATGGACTTCTTCCACCTTTGGGTAGCACATCCACAGCCTAACTGCACTTATGTGTCACAGCCGACCCCTCCCCTATTGCTGGCTTTGTGGGTAACCTGTGTGTGTGATAGAGTCGAGCAGGTTTCTTGTGAAAGCGAGTCATTCCCGGTGTGTTGGGGGCAGTTATGTTTCTTTAGTCAGCCACAAAGTGTGTAGATGAGCTCAGGTCACAGTAAAATAGTTACTGAAAGTCTGTGTGTTGTGTTTGCTGCCACAGAAAATAAGTTAAAAAGTCCCTGTTTATGTAAAGTTACTACGGCTTCACAGCAGTTGACAATGACAATATGGTCATCTGCTGTATCGCACATTAATTAATATTTAAATATATAGAATATATTTCGACATATCGCCCAGCCCTACATTAAATGTGGAATGGAAATAAAACATGTTGTGTCCACATATTGCTCTGTGCTGAGAGATTAAATTGTGG